AGGCGCCGAGCCCTCATTTTCTTATAACTCATTTTATTACGTTTTAAAATTGTTATTCCACAACAAATTTGTAATTTATTTATTCATTTTTTATTTTGATTCACTCTGTTGGCTCTGGGCTAGAGTGCAGGGGGCTCAGCCTAGCTCACAGAACCTCAGACTCCTGGGTTCAAGAGATCCTCCTGCTTCAACCTCCCAAGCAGATGGGACCACAGGAGACTGCCATAATACCTGGCTAATTTTTTTCTATCTTTAGTAAAGACAGGTCACACTCTTGCTCAGGCTGCTCTCAAAATCCTGAGCTCAAGCAATCCACCTGCCTCGGCCTGCCAGATGGGTAGGATCACAGGCATGAGCCAGCGAACCCGGACGCAAATTTGTAATTTAATAACAACAGAAAATTAAACTCAGTTGACATAGCGCTGCTTTAATTAGGTGAAGTTTGGATGACACATATCATTTTCATGTTTGAGAAGATTTGTTTGCATTGTACAGTGTTTAGTAATTCAGTTAGAGTAAGATACTGGAACTTTATAAAAACAAAACCAAAGTAAAAAGATATAATTACAATGCCCTCTTAACACTTTTTCTTCTTTTTTTTTCTTTTGGCTCCACAGGGCAGGCACATCATGGACAAGTTTCATACATTTCTCCACCAATTCACCCTGACTCTGAGCTAGACAGACCCTCTGTCAAAGGTGAGTTTTTCTCTATTTAAAGAAAAAGGTTCTCTATTCATTTTTTGGTGGAGGCAGTTCATTAAATTAAATATGGTTTTAAATATACATGTTGTAGTTCATTGCCTGTTTAAAAAGCAGGAAGAATAAAAAGTGAAGTGAGTGAGGACTCTGGAAGTACAGCAAAAGAGGAATATCATTCCAAGAATTCTTTGTAAGCCAAAGCACAATGCCTTTTAGAAATAGACATTTAGAGATTCCCAGATTTCTATTCCTTTTGTATTGGGACTTTCTTCTTCCGCTGTTCTGTTTTATACGTGAAGATGTGTTCATGTAAGTCATAGTGACAGACTCTTTTTTTCCTTGTAAAATGGTATTTTATTCTTTTATGAAGAGTCATTTGTATTAATACGATCATTTAGCCTTAGAAATATACGTTAGAATTGTGCGTTTTTAAATTGATGCTACCTGCTTTTATTTATCTATTTATTTAATTTAGAGGCAGTCTTACTCTGTTAGCCAGGGCAGAGTAGAGCAGTATCATCAGAGCTTACTGCAGCCTGGGTTTGAGCAATCCTTCCCCCTTAGACTCCCAAAGAAGCTGGGACTATCACTACATGTAACTACCCCTGGTTAATTTAAAAAAAAAAAAGATAGATAGATAGGCAGACAGATGATAGATAAATAGACAGACAGATAGATGGATAGATAGATGATAGATAGACAGATAGATAGATAGATAGATGATTGATAGCTAGATGTATAGATAATAGACAGATGATAGATAGATAGATAGATAGACAGACAGACACATGATAGATAGATAATATATAGATGATAGATAAAGAGATGGATAGATGATAGACAGATAGATGGATAGATGATAGATAGATAGACAAATGATAGATAATAGAAAGATGATAGATAGATAGATAGACAGACATACACATGATAGATAGATAATATATAGATGATAGATAG